TAAATGAAATAGCCTTTCAGTGTGCCCATTCGTGAAGCTAAAGAGGCTGTATAAATGGAGACAAAAACTTTTTAACCAAGAATTAAATGATACTATATTTTATAAAAGTTCATTTATCCACTTGAGATTTCATACTTTTAATTGTGAGGGTAAACTTTTTCCAAAATTTTCCAAAGACACATTGTAGAATCTAAAGGGGGAAAAGTAATCTCAGTCATTTTTAGAAACGATGCAAAAGTTAAGCATTGTTCACATGAAGAGGGTCAGGTAAGCGGCGCTGAGGAAAATTCAGCTTTTCAGGATGCTTACAGTCTAGGGCAGTGGTTCTCTGCTCTCCCGTCAGAATCTCTGGGAAGCGTTTTCAAAGAGCAGAGCATTTTGACTGGTTGAAAAACCATTATTAAATACAATTATGCCTCAATTACTGCTTCAGACCCTTTAATATAATAGTTGGTGATGATAAGACGCAGTTCCTCTATTAACAGATTAAGATTAAAGATAACCAAATTGGAATTCTGTGGCATGTCAGACTAGGATTATTGGAGGAACTCCTTGAAACCAGTGTGTGTTCACTAAAAGGAAAAAGGGTGACAAGAGGGTGTTCTAAAACTCCAAGGCCAAGTGTGTGTCTGTTTATGGGACCAGTTAATGAAGAACAGACATTTGATTCGAGACGAGAATCTCAAGAACCTGACACCTGGAATGGCTTTCTGTTTTGATGGGTTTTCATTTCCTCCTGTTCTGGGGTAGCAGAAGCCAGTCCCTCACAAGGCCTCCACATCATTTCTCACCTGCCTGGCTCCTTACCTCTTCCACTCACCCCTGGAAGCGGGATGGATCTGGTGCCCGAAGAAGCTGAGGAGGAGCCTTTTCTACCACCTCCGTGACTTCTTAGTGCAACGTGGACAACAGGGTCTGTGGGCCTCAGAGCACCTTGGTTTCCCCTCTAGGCCAGGGGCAGGAGAGGTAGAGACAAAGGCTGGCTGAGGCCCCAGTAGCCAGAGATGGACTGAAGTGGAAGGGCTGACAGGCACATGATTTAGGGGAAAGGGTATTTTCATACATGTAATTTTTGTTTTATGAGTAGCAGGGCTTCTCATCTACAGTGATTTTATAGTTTGACATCAAAACATCTTATTACATTAAAGGGTCTATCTAAATGACATTCGAGTATATGTAAAAGAAGTGGAATTTACTTAACACCTACTACGTCCCAGCATGGATCCACAAGACAGCTAACCCTCATACCAACCTTGCAAGGGAGATATTATCTGTCCCTAGTTTAGATTTGCAGAAACTGAAGCTCACAGAAGGTTAAATACGTTACCCAAAATACAACTAGTAAGTCACAGAACCCGGGTCCATCTCCTTGGAATCCTGTGTATTCCCCCAGGTCTTCTAACAACATATGAAAATTCATATCAAAATCAACAAGTGACTGTAATCTAGCACCATAAATACTAAATACTTCTTTATGACACTGAACCAAGTCAGCTTTTAAATTGTATAACTTTGCTTTTCTGTTGTTTGTCAGCTCTTAACCTGGTTAATATCAGTTCTGTTGACATTGGACTTGGCTCGGGAAATGATTAATGAGTGGATTTTCAGCCTTCCTTTGCATCTCTTCTTTCTTTCAGTCCTCCATCGTCTTCTTTACCTGCTGCTGCTATGCTTTACAGTCCTCGCGTCAAACACATAGGACTATAAAGGCAAAGAAAATGAGTGTTTCATTGTGACGTTTCAGATTTTGAGCTTCCAAGTCTTTGGGGATTTTTTTGTTTTTGTTTTTGTTTCTGTTTTTTTTTTGGCCGCACCACGCGGCATGTGGGACCTTCCCCGACCAGGGATCAAACCCGCGCCCCCTGCAGTGGAAGCGCGGAGTCTTAACCCCCAGACCGCCAGGGAAGTCCGTGTACCCGTTTATATCTTAAAGGCAAGGGCTGCAGTGGCATTAAGGGCATCCATAACTCCCAGTGCATCTCCATGTGCCCCGCCCTCTTCTGACCTGCATCCCTTCTCCCGCATTTGCAGATGAGGACACAGGTTCCTAGAAGGAAAGCAACAGACCAAAGGTCTGTTTGCAGAATTAAAACTGCCTTGCAGATGAACTACCCTGTTTCCACAGCTACCTGGTTTCCACTGGTGACCTTTAAAAATGTAAGACAAACATAGTACTAGATTTATATTTATGTGATCAACTGGTTTTCAAAGCACAGATATCAATTAATTTTTTCCTCTTTGCAACAATTCTATGCAGTAGGCACGGAGCCAAGTCACCAGGCACCAGGCCAGTTAGTGGCTGAGTACTCAGCTTCTCATCCTTGCTGACGAATACATTTTTTTTTTAAGTATTTTCTCTTTCCTCATAAGCCCAACATTACAAAGATGTCTTTTAAAAGAAAAATGTCAAGACTTTATTCAAGGTATATATCAGGCATTATAACAAAACAGCAGAACTTCAACCTTTGGAATACTGTAATTTTACATCCCTTTGATGCACAGTTCAGTATACTATTTGATTACAGATCATTCTATGGGGATTACAGAAATAAACCAAGGGCAAGTGTACACAGTCACAGTCCAGGATGCCAGCTCTCGGAGTGTGTGCCATTTGTGAATGAAGCACACATCCTTTACCATTTCCAGTACTGTGCAAGGTGAACAACTAGGAAGGTACTCAGTGGTGGTCGTGGTTGACAAGCACTGTTAATCACAGACACGTGGACAGTATACTACAGAGAACACACATTTCAGAGGCCAGCGAAGTGAGCAAGCTATTCACATAAAGCCAGGAGGGATTATGCCTAACTCTCCAGTTTATAAGTACAATACCACGTCTCATCTTCTCAGAAACAGAACAGGTGCTCAATAGCAAAGAACCGAAAATTACTACATGAAAAGTACAGACTTTCCAGCTAGCATTTTGTAAACAGCCTGTGTCTGTAAATCAGCCAATTAAAAACATTCAGTTTTATCCTCTAGACAGAACTCCACATCACTACTTGTACACTTTGAGGCATTCACATTTTACGTCAGTCCACACAAATATACAGCTTGTTGGATAAGTAAACATGTTTTGCCAGAAATATGACAGCTGCTCTCAGTTGTACAGTGGGTGTTTTTTTTTAAGAGAGAATCCAACTCCCTAACCAACACTTGAAGGAAAAATAGTTACATTAAGACAGCAGTTTGGATACCTTTATATTTTTTAAATCTTAAATGAGAAATAATACAGCATGTCTGAGAGTAGAGTCCTTCAAGCTTGTTTTTGGCATAGTTGAGTGCAAACTTCATAACCCATACTTGTTAAAACTCTCCATTGTAAAATGGTGAAAATATAGCTTGTTCACAATAGGATTTTAATCTCTGCTGCTAAAGGCATTTATTATTTTGGCAAAAAAAAAAATTGCTAAAAAGCTGCTTAATGAGTTAAGCTGTTTTTGCTTTTGCTTCTGGTAATTCTGGGTACTCCCAATGACAGGTAAATACATTTTAAAGCATATATTTTTCCTCTGTCTGAAACCATTCAGTGAGCTTGAAGAAAACAGGTTTCCTGTCTTCCCTCAGGGGGTTAGGTATTGGTGGGTATGGGGCACAGACAATGAACAGACAGCCTCTGTTTGCCCTCTGAACCACAAATTTGCTTTTAGGTTTATTTTCCTAAATCCTTTTGTAAATTACAAAGTCACCTTCAGAGGCATTGTGGGGAAAAGGGATTTAAATATGCACATCTGGTAACAAGCAACTTCAAGTAAAACCCTCTCAGAGGTGGCTAAGATCCAGCCAATGTGTCACCAGCAAAGACTGACGTATGTTTGCGTAGCTCAGTCTTTAACTGGGCCTGTTTATAGCTGATTGACAGTAGGTTCTATGTGGTACATAACACTCTCTAGTGTTCAGGGCCTATCTATGAACAAACACAATCCAAGAATTATAAGTAACTGGGTTGTGACCACTGCATGCATCACACTGAAAGGAAACACCAACTCTTAAGCGTAAGGATATGAGTCCTACATTTAGGCTCAGCTCTACCAGGGGAGAGCAGCTGCCTCAGGCCAAAATGCTATTTAAACCAGATTCTTCTTTTCAGATAAAATTCTCAGTGTAAGCAGGGAGTCCCCTCAGACAGTGAGCTCTCTTCCTAAGCGACGCGGGCTTGTATGAAGCGCGAGTGCCCACGCGCGTGCGTCTCTCTCGTTCACATCCTGCACAGGCCAGGAGGGGACAGAGGGCGTGAGCCAGAGCCGCCCGTGAGCTGGGGTGCCAGCCACATCCGTGAAGGTCTCAACCTCTGAAACCCTTCTAGAACCCAGCGTGATTGTTACCCAGATGTCTCAGACATACTTCACCGTGTATCTGAGACAAAGCATGATTGTAGGGTTGCTTGTGTTTGGGTGGATGGGTTGGTTTTCGCTTAGTGTTTCCTGAAACGAGGCGCTCCCACCGTGGGCTCCTCTACCTGGGGAAATCAGTCACAGCACTGGGTCCTACTGTGGAGACACAGTCATCGTCAAGCACTTTTGAACCACTCAAAATGATTCCTTACAACAGCTCTGTAAGTCTACACGCCCCGCCCCCCCCCCCCCCCGCGC